TCTAAACAACACTGCTTAGGGAAAAACTAGCTTCGGAGGGATCCAGGAGGAGGCCACTAGTTTGCACATCCCTATATAATAATGTCACCAGAAAATGTCATCTACTAGAATCCCAGTGGCAGAAGGTCTGCATTTAGAACACATTGGGCGGCTGCTTGGGGTCAATGTGAGGTTGGGGGGCTCTGCTGGGTTGGGGGAAGAGTGTGAAATTGGGCACTGTGTTGGGGGAGAAGAGTGTGGAGTTGTGGGGTTCCGCTGGGGTGGAGGCAGGTGTGTGAGGTTGGGTGCTGTATTGCCTAGGGGTAGGAATGTGATGTTGGGGGTGCTTTTGGAGGAAGGCAGAGAAAGCCCAAAAACAGAGCCATGGTAGGAGAAGAAAATCCAATCCTGTACTAATGAGGAAAGAAGAAGATCTCCAAGTCAGGGTCAGAGAAAGCTTGTGTTTTCGGTGTCTTACATTCGGGTAAGTGTGAGCTCTTCAGTGTGGCTTTTTGTGAGCGCCTCCTTCCAGGGCATGAATGGGTGCACAGCATGGCAGGAGGCGGGGAAATATTGACGGATGGTGGCTCACACAGAGTTACTAGGCAGGAGGTACAGGGTGGGGCTGGAGTATGTGCATTTCCACCAGTGTCGCTGGTTACTGAATGAAGTTATAGTGGGAGCCACTGCTCTGCAGAATCTCAGATGCTGAGCCCTGAGTTGAGGTGGACAGAGTTAGCTCAGGAGGGAGCCTGGGACACTGGCCATGAAAGTATGACCAGAAACACACTGGCTAATTCCCAGGGAAGATGTGTACTGGGTGAGCCCTGCCTGAGCCTGGCTGCAGTGAGGCTTGCTTGCTCTGGCCGTGCTGTGGTGGTGGGAGAGGAGGATGTCTAGACACTTAGGCTCTTGGGATGGAGAGGCAAAAGAGACTATGCTGGAGTACAGAGAAGGTGCAGGCTGAGGGTCAGAGCTGGCCCTGGGACTCCCAGGCACTGCTGAGGGGCATGTATATGTGTATGTGCTCATGTGTACATGTCTGTGTTCATATCTGACCTCTAAAAATTCCAGTGAGGGGACTGTGCAAGGCCAGAGCAGTTGGGAGAGGGATCCCTACGGAAGGTGAGAGGATCCCTGAGGTCTGAGAGGGGCCTTGAAGGACAGAGAGATCCTCGGGAGGGAATGGAATTTCATGCAAGGGACAGCAGAAGCTAAGGTGTGGTGGCTGAGGCTGTGGCCACAGCAGCTCCAAGGAGCTCACCCTGACAAAGGCTCAAGCACAGTGGCGATGAAATTGGGTAAGATAGTGGAAAAGGTCAGAGACTTGAGAGCCAGGTAGAGTTTTGAGTTGGTTTTGTATGAAATGGTGAGTCATTTACTGTTCTAGAGTGAGAGAGTGACTTGAGGAAAATGTTCTACAGAAATCTGACTGCTGCTTATGTGAGGGAGGAAAGAGCTGGGGGCAGGCCTTGGTCCTAGATACTCACTGAGCGAGACTTATTCCGCTCCTGATCTCTGAGCAAGAAGAAATCCACATCCTCAGACATGTGAAAAGGATTAGCTGAACAGTCAGGAACAATCACAGACACTGGGGAGAGAAATACCTCATTAGAGAGATGAGCCAGCACTTCCGAGCCATGGTCTGTGCCTTTAGGGGCCCAGAGACCTCCTAGCCCAGCACAGAGAGCTTCCTTGAAAGCATGAGTGAGTGGCAAATGTTCTCTTGGATCCAGCTGTGTCTGAAATCCACCTCTGGACCTTCCAGCTCCATAAACTCACCTGTCTGGTTTAACCTAGTTGGAGTTGGGCTTCTGTCCCTGGCATCTGAAAGGGACCTTGTGAATAGCCCCTCCTGTGTCTCAGACATCTGCTATGTCCCAGGCCCTATGGCCTCTTTCATTTAAAGTCTCAGGAACCCCTACTTTGTAGAGGAGGGAAGCAAGAGCTTGCTGTTTTTAAGTGATGGTACCAGCTGATGAGGACCTGCTGACTCCAGAGCCGAGGCACTCAAGGCGAACATGTGTTGCCTTTGCAGGAATCTCCACGAGCCTCCCAGCAAGGCTGGGCTTGGGAATGGGTGAGGGTGATGTACCTGAGGCCTGGAGAGGTAGGGCAAGCATTTGGGGGCTACCAAGGACCCTAATTCTGCTGCTCCCACCCCCAGGGACTAAAAAGAGGTTCTTGTAGCTCATCTGAGAGGGTGTCAGGGAGGGCAGAAGCTAGAGGACACCAAACTTAAGTCTTAAAAATATGGCTGCTTTCTCCCCCTACCCTTGATTTAAAAGAAACATGTTTCAGTGGAAAAAACAAAACAGAACAAAAAATTCTTAAAAAAAAGAATGTAATAGCTTCTCCCCCCAAGATAGAGGCTCTGTTCATTCCTCTGGCGACCAAATCAAAGTTGTGATGGAAACAAGGAGCAGAAGCAAGGAAAAATTGCCTGGGATCTAGGTGAACAAGCCATACAACTACGGAGAAATCCAAGAAAGCTCCCTGCAATGGCAGAAGGTAGGACGGGGCGAGGACGCAGGGCTGCCAGGTCCCAAGCAGCTGAGTGAGACGGAGGCTGCGGCAGTGGCAGAGCCTCTTAAAGGCGCCGCATCCACTAGCGGATTTTCGTGGTGACAGACCTGCTTGCTTGCTCTAAGCACCAGTGCCCAATTGGCTGTGCGCAGGGAGCATTGTTGGAGTGAGGGCCACGGTGAGACTCGCTAGGTACAGAAGTGCCGGCAGTATCCATCATTCCCTGTTGAGCCCTACCCACTACCAGTGCGGCCGACACAGTGCCGCCATTGCTGTGACATCATCAAACTGGATAACAGAGGTCGCTCCTCCCAGAGGATTCCCTGAAACCCCGCCTCCCCCAACTCGTGGCCCCACCCAAGCCACATCCAAGTGTATCCTCAGCGAGTCAGGTGCTTCTTGCTGAGACTCACGTTGGTAGAGGCAGCTGGCCTCGGTTTCTGGTGTGATCTTTTGAGGCAACTATAAGCACAGCATCTGTGGATTGCTTGCTGAATTTTAACAGGCGGCCCCAGAGGGGTAGAGGCTTGAGCTAAATTTGGCCTGCAGTTGAACTCCTCTCAGGACTGTGCCACTGGACACCTACTTCACAAACCCACACTAATAAGACAGGGATACTTAGGAGCTTTGCTTTGTGCATAGAAACAGATGTGGAAAGGCAACCAAAATGGGAGGACAAAGCAGCAGAAACCATATGAGAGAACAGAACAGAGATCCAGATATAATGAAGTCAAGTAATCTAACAGATGCAGAGTTCAAAACACTACTTATAAAGATGCTCAGTGAACTTTTGGGAAGTGTAGAGAACTCTAACAAAGTTATAAAAATGGAAATGGAAATTATAAAAGGGAAACAGTCTGAAATGGAGAACACATTATCTTAGACGAGAAGTATATTAAATGGAATAAACAAAGGAATAAACAAAGTGAATAAAGAAGAGGATCAAATGCCTTATCTAGTATCTAGAGGATAGGAAAGCCAATCAGGATACTCAATCATAATGGCAAGAAACAAGATGCCAAGACTATAAAAATAATTTAAGGAGGATATGGAACACTATTAAGGCTCCAAATATTCATCTGTTGGTGTAACAGAAGAAAATCAAGATGTTGAACAGCTGTTTGAAGAAAGAATGATGGAAAACTTCCCTAACCTGGTGAAGGAAATGGACATAAAACCCCAGGAGG